TTTCGTCACAAAATTGATATCAGAAATTTTGTGTTTCAAATTTTGGTTTCGTCACTCGTTCTTCACCTTAATAGAGGTTTTTTATTTGATATCAATAGTTTTGTAAGCGCTATTTTCCAAGTTAAAGATTCAAGACACATGAATTTGAATATTTTTCAAATACAATGAAAATATGGATTTTTTGGTTATTTTTGGACTAAATTTATACAAATTATGGTTCATAATGAGGAACAGAGGTATTTTTCAGTGGTCTGTGGTATGCATATTGTTTTATCTTTGACTTGAGGCTTAAATTGATGAAATTTTCAAGAGAACATATGCAGTCTTTTCCGAAAAAATGCCCGTTATGTGTGTTATTCCACATGGAATTTTTAAGTCGCAATTGGCACCACTCGAGAGCTTACTTTAAGACCTTTCCAACAAATATGCATATGTCCTGGTTATGTCTCACAGCGACCGTATGAAATAATAGCCATTTTTGCATAGTTTACCATTTATACTAACAGTTTTGTAGATTTCTTTTAATTTCATTTGTGACTAAGCGCATGCACCTCTCCCGACGATAGTTCACCTTCTGGCCTGATGGGACGGGACATAAAATTCGGTATTTTATCGATCTTATGCGAGGAGACTATCAAACATGTAGTTATTTGTTGTTAAAATTTCATATTTCATACATCTAGATATTTTTGTGAAAATTCGAATTTTGGTACATTTGGCCGATTTTTGGTGGAATAGCCCTCCAAAACGGTCGATATTTTATTCAATTTTGTTTGGCTAGTCACAGAGCATATTTACAGAGTCATTGGAGTACATTTTTGCCCATAAAATACTTCAAATGTTAAAAGTAACATTTTTTGTCATTTTTGGCCATTTTTGGCCATATTCGCACTATCAAAGGCCATACCGTGAAGACAAGAATTTTTAGGGATATAAGCTATGCGGCATTTTATAGCTTAGACTTGGGCCTAAAAATCGGTGAAATTTTCAAGTGACCATGAAAGGCTAGTTTTCGAGCTAATGACCATTATATGTCCGGCCAAACGGTAACTTTTTGGTTTTTGGCCAATTTGGCCACTCCAACTTGAAATTTTTGGACCGCAAATGACTCCATTCGATAGCTTCAAGACCTTTCCATTGATATGCATATGTCTGGGGGGTGTCAAGTCATGGCGCTTCGGTGTCCATAGGGAAAAAAGTCGAAAAGTGACATTTGGAGGCCGGCCACGGCCAACATGGCGGCCAAATCGAAAAGTGCCGGAACAAAAAAGTCTTAGTTTTTTGTCTACTTTAATCACAGAAAGTTTCAAAAAGATCAGAATCGAGTACGCAAATCCCGGACACATATACCAAATGATTTTTATAGAAAAAACATAAGAAATTTTTAAAATAATAAATTTTTCGAACGGATTGATCGATTTCGACGGTTAATGGGTCGTTAGAAAGGTATCGAGCTCTAGAATTGTAATATCGATGTTTCAGGGGCCAACGACCTCATTTAGTGCCATATATGGCCGTAGAACTGAATTTTGACCCTTTTCTTGAAAGGACCATATTTCGAAGACGGGTGGACCAATTTTCGAACTTTAATATTTTTTCTTGATCTATGGCCCAAGAACTTTCCAACCATACACCAATCGCGGCTAAAGGCCTTCCAGGTTAGAATTTGGAAATTATTTGGACATTACGTGTATATCAGTAGTGTGCGGAGGGGGGGGTTTACCCCCCCTGTGATTTGGATGAGAATTTATTTTTCGTGAAATTTATTCGAAATTGCTAGGGTTTTTGATTCAAAAAGTGAAGACCTTTTTTCTTTTTTAGCTCATCAATGTAGAAAATTGAGGAAAATTCTTTCAATTTGCTAGGGTTTTTGGCTCCGAGAGATTTTTTTCCGACTTCCAAAAAAAAAAAAAAAAACGAAAATTTGTCCAATTTGCTAGAGAATTTTTTGTTTTTGGAAAATCACCCCCCCCCCCCCTGAAAAATTTGCGTCGCACACTACTGGTGTATATATAGCGAGTTCGATTTTTCAACACACTAATGTGGTTTCGTCACTCGCGCGAACTGCCGTCCGCTGTGATAATAAATGAATGTTGTGGCACACAGTGTAAGACATTTAATATTCACTGGGTTTTTTATTTCCTTCGATATTCCACGCGCACGCCACACACAGTAAAAATGCGAATCAAAAATGCAACTTTATTTTTTCTCTCTTTCTTGCTTGTTCTTGCTCACTCTCGTCGACTAAATTTTTAATTTTTTTTTGTTCTTTATTTATCAGTTTGACACAACATCCAACTGTGGAAATTATGCAGAAAATTGTGCCCGTAAAAATTGAGTAAGTAGATCTACTTTTTTTTTATCATTATGTATTTATGTCATCATTTTTGCAATAATAGCAACGTAAATTCAGTTCTTTTTTTGTCAAGTTCCGGTAAAATAATCGATACCTATATTAATATTTTTATAATATAAGCATAAAATTAAAAGTGAATGTTCTTTTTTTGTGTTGTCCACCAGGATTGAATCTGCGGTGGTCTGCGAAAATATCGTATAAAATATGGATCTTATAGAAGTAACAAATATTCAGTGTCCTAGTGGCTTAAACATTGATTCCGGGTTCGCAATCGTTCCGGTGTTGTTTTGGAACAAAGAGCTAGTTATAAGATGCGAAAATGAGGAGTGCACAGTTTATGGATTACCAGACATACTGCCCGGCCGAAATAACACAATCATGTTATCGTAAAGTGATTTCGATCATTTAAATTTATGTTGGGATGACGAAATTCTCACAATTGAATCGGTCATATATATAGATAGTAGTAGTTTAAGTAGTAATAATGACGATGATAGACATGCTTGATGATACAGTTGAAGATAAAAAAAACGAAAAATTCCCGGCCTACTATAAATTTGTTACCAATATAGATTTAGTTGGAAAAATTGTAAATAACATTGAAAATGATACGCTACCGGTTGATAATTTTGAAGATATTGATAATTTTACCATTTCATTGCCACAATACATAACCGGACAAAAATATCCGCCACCAAGGCCAAAACATCAAATAATTCCGGATAATTTCACGCAAGAGAAATTGTCAGAAATTTCAAAAATGTTAAGAAATTTGCCGGCATACTTTTCCATTGATAACATCCTTCATTCTATCGATAAAAATAAAATCACGATATTAATTGGTGGTACCGGCTGTGGAAAGACGATACTAGTTCCACATGCATTACTCGAAAAAATGAATCAACAAAGCTGGTTTAATATTATTTGGTGAGCCAAAAAGAATTTCCGCACAAAAAGCTGCCCAAACACTCTCAAATAACTATGCTGGTGGTTTCGTTATTGGTTCACATATACACAAAGAAAACGCGACCACAGATCGGACCAATTTAGTATTTCTAACGTCCGGAGTATTGATTTTGATACTTAAATCATTAGTAGCCAGCCGAAAACGTGTTCCCATCTCACATATAGTTATAGACGAAGCGCACGAAGGAAACATCGATTCCGATTCGTGTATATTAATTTTAACGAATTTTAAGACATTACCCGGAAATTAAATTAGTTGTTATGTCGGCAACACTAAATACCGAAAAATTTCATTCATACTTCATAAAATATGGCTACACGCCAAATATTATTAATATTCCCGGTCAAGCTCAAAAATTGACAATACAATATGCATCGCCATCATCATCTCATCAAAACAATAATGATGAAGATGTTGATGAATCATTCAATATTGAATTGAAATCCATAATTCCATACAATGAAATTGTGAATAAAATGTTTCAATTTATTCAGTCTTCTACAAACGAACAAGAAGACATTCTCATATTTTTACCGGGCATGGATGAAATAAATATGCGCGAAGAACATATTAAGGCACACAAGCTAAGTAAAAACTATTCTTTAGAAATCCGGCGTTTGCATCGTAAACTTTGTAATGGAAGAAAAGATGTAAACGAAATTACTTCGATCTTTAAAAACCGGCTAATTTATTTATCAACAAATATCGCAGAGACGTCAATTACTCTGCCAAATTTAAAGTTTGTCATAGACAGTGGATACGAAAAATCCATAAAATATATTCCGGAGATTGATGCAATTAGCGTTCAATTAAACATGATTACACAAAGCTCGGCCAATCAGCGAGCTGGCCGTGCTAGTAGAGTATCAGATGGTCTAGTGTATCGTGCATATACCGAAGAACGGTATAATGCTATGTGCGAACATAAGATCCCGGGAAATCAAAGTTTGTTATCTTACTGCCTCAAAGTCATGGACTTTACCAAGAAGCCGGTTAATTTTATAAGCAATTTAATAAACCCACCAAATGCCAACGAAATTTATATGGCAATAAAACAACTGCACTTGTTGCGAGCGGTGAATTACACAGAATCAGATCAGGAACCTACTCTCACACGTTTGGGTAGAAAAATAATTGACATAAATGCTGAAGTCCCGGTTGTAATTTCATTAATCTATGGCATTGCATTTAAATGTATAGATCCGGTTATGTATATACTAAGCGCACAAAATGATTCTTGTATTTACCAAGAAACCGGTCGATCGAAAGAATCGAGAAAAATTGAAACCTCCAAACAAATAGCCGGATTTTTAAACAATAAAAATGGTAAAGGTGAATCAGATCATTTCATTGATTTGACCATCTTTCAACATTGCCTAAAGTACAATATAGCCAAAGTCCATGAACAAATGCAAATAAATTCGGATCTTTTGAATAAAAATCGATCATTCTATGATGATCTAAAAAAGTTTCTCAAATTTCATTTCTCAAATGTAATTGATAAGGATATAAATAAAAACGCAAATAACCCGGATTTAATTAGATTTTGCATTGCGGCCGGTCTACGACATAAAATTGCATACAGAGACGAAAATGATGGGAAATGGTTTGATTACAAAACCAATCAAAAACTTAAAATTAATTTAAAGTCTTCTGTTCAAGAAAATACCGGTAATTTTTATTGTTATGAACGAAAAAATGTACGACAAAATGCATCAGAATCATATTTTTACGCACAAAATATCACGAAATTATCACCGGCCATAATTAGTCTTCTTAATATTCCAATAATTGATATGGATGAAGAATTAAAAGTACTGTGAACGATCGATATTCTTAAGTAGTTTGTTCCTCAGCTACTTAAGAATAGTGAAATCTTAAGAATTCTGGACGTCTGTAGAAAATCAAAATTTAGAAGGCAAAATAATGAAAAACAATTTTTTTTATGCTTTTCAAGCACATATTTATATCATCAATATGATGTTTATTTTATTGAATAAACATAATCATGCATTTGGATTAACAAAATATTGATTAAGTGTGGTTTGTTTCGGTGGTTTCAAAATTTGTTTCTTCACAATGTCAGATCGAAGCTGAAGAAGATTTGCTAAATGTTTGTCTGCATATTCCGCATTGTTTTCATTCCATTGAATCAAAGTATTCACTGCACTGATGGCCTCATTGTATGAAATGGTTGGTTTATTGGGAGCACTTTCATTATCATGAATATTTTCGGTGTCCGAATCTTCATCGCTGATTCAGTCACACCAAAATCAATTGCCAAACGATTTGCACGCACACCACTGTCTAGTTTTTTTAAAATCTCACTTTTCTGTTCCAAACTTAATCTTGGTTTCTTTGGTGCTGACATTTTCCCAGAAATACAAAATAAAAATATAGAGCGATATGACGTGATCTCTTCAAAATGCACAACTGTTATGCATAAACCGTCTATACAATCGTTTGACACAGCATCCGAGTAAAATCAATGCTTACTTCGATAAATCGCATCGGATCGTACATCTAACGTTTACATTAAACACAATAACAAACTACAAAGTTGCAAAAGAAACATTTCATTTCAATGAAAATATGTGTTTCAAATGAAAAAAATCGACTTTCGATTATCTTAAGTCAAAACTTAAGATATTAGAAAGTTACATTATGAGCCAAATTAACTTAAGATAACTGGACAATTAAGAATTTCGGTACTTAAGAATATCGATCGTTCATAGTATATTTTAACCGTATAACTGTGAAAATTGACAATATCATTGAAAAAACGATCCGCAATTTACGATTCGATGTTTCTGACAACAATTTTATCACTTCAGTGGTGGAATTTTTGGCACATTCTCCTACATTAATAGAAATACCAACTAGCAAAATTTACGAAGTGACTATTGCCATTCATGATATTTGGCATATGGGAGAAAAACCATTAAATGCCGAATTCAAAGATATAATCCGGGATATTTTCAGTGAGTTTGAAATCATACACACGTATGTACAAACTCTGGAGCCACACCAAGGCTATATAGTTGTGCCAAGCACAACAAATGTCAATAAAATTTTTGAATTAGATACACTACCCGGCAAAAATGAAAACAAATTAACACTTGGATTTGGCTATTGTAGAAATGTTAATTTTATGAATTCCCAAAATCCGAAATTTTGGAATGAACAATTGTTTGCCAGACATTATCCGGAAATTTCTTTACCAACCAAATGAAAAAGTAATTTTTTTCATACGGATATTCAGTCTATGTATTCCAGATGGATATCCAGCTGAGATATTTCAGAATATCTGGATATTTAACGCGACGGTACAGTGCGTATGAAATGTGGCTACGTATAGATAATACACAGCGGAGCTGTAAAATGTCATATAAAATATTTGACACTTTGAAGTTTGTTTACGTTTATGTTTTGAATGTTGGGCAGTAAATTTGGATTTCACTTTTTGTTTGATTCTTCAATATTTTAAATATTTGCCCATCAAAACCGATTCAATTCAGTGTATAGTAACAAACATATTGTTTTTCTCGATAACATTTGCAAACAATTGAAATCGGCAAATATGGGAAATATGTTTTAAAATTCATTGATAATGCTTGTGCCAGCTTTGATCGATGTTCGAAAAAAAAGAAACACCACGCAAAATTATGTCAACAAAAAATGTGGATAACGTAACCACAAATGCTGGTCAAATTGTATCGAAAAACCTTGAACTAGTCGAGAAATGTTAAACTAGAAAAGAAGAAATGAATGATAATTCTTAAATATTTGGTGTTGTTAAGAGCGGTGTCCAATAGACTGGCCCCCAAAACACAAAAGTTGAAATTTTTTCGCTCTTACATCGGAATACTTTTCCATATAGTGTGCAAATAACATGTGTAAAGTTTCATGCCGATAGCTCAACGCTAGATGGTGCCGCAAGAGCTCGGTAGGTCATTATGTGAATTTATTGAAAAATGACGTTTTCAGTTAAAATAAAAATATCTTCGCACAACCATATCGACTAAAAATTGATGGTAATCGTCATTTTCCATCAAACACTTGCCACTGGTGAAGTTTAAAACAATTTGAATCATAGCCGTGGTCTATTATAGCAGGTAGGAATATCAAAACGTATTTTGTACTGAAATGTCACTTTTGCAAAAAGATTTTTACATCCTACCGCCATCTACTTTCGTATCGATTACTATTCTAATATCAAAACGAAATGAATCCACAAATATGTTTCTAGTGGTTAATTTAATGAATATTATGATTGCCAATCTTTTAAAAAAAATGTTTTATTCATAAAAAAATATTAATCGGCAATAAAAAACGTGAATGCATCGTTTTAACAAGTCGAAATATCAAAAGCATTCACTCAATAAAGTTGTGTATTGTGAGAGCCAACTTCAGACAGATTGTATATATGTGACAACTATTTTTTGACATTTGTAAAACCGGCAATTAGGTGTTTGTGTTTCAACTATAAACATTAAACATGCGAAAAGTAATTTTGCTTTTTTT